AGAGCCAGGTCACGGGAGGTGTATCATCAGTCAAGATGTAGTTTTCAATGAAGCAGAAATGGCTTTCAAGAAAAATGATGATGTTGGTCGAAGTGCGGAAATATCTGACGAAGAGCTGGAACAAGGAGAGATTCATGTTGAGGTAGAGCATGTCGATGATGAATTACGTATCCCAGATGAAATCGAAGAAGAAGCAGAAGATGCTGAGGAAGTTGAGGAAACCGTTGATGGCTACCTATTGGTAAGATATAGGTCGAGAAGAGTCATCAAGGCACCTCCGAGACTTGGGTATGCAAATATTATATCTTATGCCTTAATCTCTGCGGGTGAGGTTCTAGACGAAGAACCTAAAGACCATAAGGAAGTTATGAGGATTCAAAATAAGGCTGAATGGCTGAAGGCCGTGGATGATGAGATGAAATCTCTTCATGATAACAACACTTGGGAACTGATCAAGAAACCTGCAGGAGCCAAGTTAGTCAACTATGGGTAAATTTTCAAAGTTAAGAAAGGAATCGAAGGAGTGGCCTTGAAAAGATACAAGGCAAGTTTGGCCGCAAGGGGTTTCACTCAGAAAGAAGGTGTTGACTTCAATCATGTGTTCTCTCCTGTTGTGAAGCATGTGTCCATTCATATGTTGCTTGACATGGTGGCATAGTTCGATCTTGAACTGGAACAAATGGATGTGAAGACTGCGTTCTTGTATGGTGATCTAGATTAAACAATCCCGATGAGGCAACCTGAAGGGTATGTGGAAAAGGGGAAGGAAGAATATGTGTGCAAGATGAAGAGATCTTTATATGGACTAAAACAATCACCTCGATAGTGGAGTAGGAGATTCGACAAGTTCATGGTATGCATAAGTTTCATTAGAAGTCAGTTCAACCACTGGATTTACTTCATATTTTGACCTGGTAATTAATTTTTTTACTTTGTTGCTTTATGTGAATGATATTCTCATAGAAAGAAACAGTTTCGAAGGTGTAATGAGGGTGAAGGTTGAACTTAATAAGGAGTTCGACATGAAGAATCTAGGAGCATCATCTAAGATTCTTGGGATTGACATCCGAAAAGATAGAAAGCAGTCAAAATTATGCTTATTCCAAGAAGCTTACCTACAGAAGATTCTCGACAAGTTTTGATATGTCGAATTCAAAGCCTGTTGTGACTCCGAAAAACCCTCAATTCAAGATGAGTATAGATAAATGTCCCAGTAGTGATTTTGAAAGAGCTTATAAGAATAGCGTCTTATATGCTAATATAGTATGTTCTTTGATGTATGTTATGGTATGTACTAGATCCAATATAGCATATGCATTAAGTCTTGTAAGCAGGTACATGACAAATCCTAGAAAGACTCACTGGCAAGCATTGAAGTGGATTCTAAGGTACATAAGTGAGTCTCTGAATAGAGTCCTAATTTATGGTGGATCCTTGGGTGAATATAGTAAAGAAAAAATCGAAGAAATATGTCGACTCTGATTATGCAGGTTGCATGGATTCTAGAAAATATATTTCTGGATACGTTTTCACTATGTTTGGCACAACAATTAGTTGAAAAGCGACACTTAAGAAGGTTGTATCCTTATGAACCAATAAAGTGAAATATATCACCCTCATTGAAACTGTGAAAGTAGCATTGTGGCTTGAAGGTTTTGCTAAGGAGCTGAAACTTCAAGGTCAAGTTATCACTGTTAAATGTGATAGTCAAAATGCAATACACGTGTCGAAGAACTTGGTCTATCATGAGCGAACCAAGCACATCAATGTGAGGCTGGATTTTATCAAAGGGGTAATCGAGCATGGAAAAGTCCAGGTGCTGAAGGTTTCGACGGATCACAATGTTGTTGATATGATCACCAAGACATTGCCAAGTTGCAAGTTTTTCTACTGTATGCAGTTGATAAAGCTGCATGAAGAAAGCTAGTTTGTTCTTTGATGTTATACAGTTTGTTCTAAGGTGAAATTTTTTGAGATATTGGAATCGAACTCTAGTATGGTCGAAGGTATCTTCTTGGTTTCGACAGTTCAACATAGCTTTAGAATGCAATTGAAGGTCGCTTACATGATATTGCTGAAGAAGAGTATGTTGTAGTCGAAGTATGGTCAAGCATGCAGTTGTCAAAAATGCTAGGGTTGTTAGCATGTAGAATTAGGCCTTCTTGTTATGCTCAATTGTTTAAGTTAGCTTGTACCCTAAGTTAGCTTGTAATGGGTATTTGAGACAAAGGCCATTAGTTTAGTATGAGGTTTATTATAAATAGCATACTAGTCTCTCATCATTGCATATAACAAATCCTAATTTAGGGTGAGAGGGTTATTTGTTATTCTTGTGTACTTGTAATCTTATTTAAGAGAAAGTAAAGAATAACAATTATAATTAATCCTTGTTGCTTTTCGTGTTTTATCATCTTTTCTATCTTGTTTGTTTCTTGATCATAAAGAAACATTTATACTTTGTTTTAAAGGAATCTTATTTCACAACAACCAAAAATTCATAGTTTCCAACAAAATTTCTAAATGTTGTTTTATGAGTGTCCTCTGGTATAACTCAAATTTGATGGTAGTCTGACCTTAAGCTAATCTTAGTAAAATATTTGTACAACCCAACTTATCAAAGAGTTCATCAAAGATAGAAATGGTGAAATAGTCATGTATTGTAACTATATTAAGTGCATAATAGTCCACACATAAGTTCTATGCATTATCTTTCTTACACTCTACTAACACAAGGAAGAGTAAGGGCTATTTATAGGCTTGATCATGCCTTCTTGAAGTATGTCATGAATGATTAGTGTTATGGAATCTTTTGGGCAGTAGGGATAATCATAAGGCTTAACTTTTATGGGGGAAGTGTTTGGTCTAAGAAAAATGTGGTGGTGATGAGGTCTAGTAGGAGATAGACCATGTGGAGTTTGAAAAATAGTAGGGTGACGTTTGACAATGTGAATAATTTTTTTGGGTAAGGAAGTGGAGATAGGGTTTATTGTTTGTATAGGCTGAGGTATGGTATTTGGAAATATTTCTCTAGTAGGTTGATAAAGCAAAAGGTGGATTGAATAAATGAAATCATTGTGAAGTAAGTGGAAAAATGATGATAAGTTAAGGGTTTAGGAGAAGGTTGAGGATCATCAGTAATGGTTATGTCATATTATTATGAGTGAAGGCTATGTTTGCTATGGAAATATGACTTGATAATGGCTTAAAGGTTCTCAAACATTCCATTCCTAGGTTTGCATTTTCTTCTTCAATGGTAAGCAAATATAATGGAATAAAAAATACGTTATTTTGAAGAGTAATGGGAACTTGAGGGCAGGGTCCCAAAAAATGTGACATTCATTCTCCACTGTGACAAAAAGGTTGGGTTTGAGTTTGGTGAGAATTTTTAGTTGTTGAGAAATACGAGGTTGGAGAATATTATGTATGTTGTCAGCAACAATTGGGACAGTAACATCTAGAACATTAAGCAACCCCTTAAATTTCAAAGTTTTAGTAAGAAATTCCCTTTGAAAACTTACGGTGAAGGTTGAAAATAAATTTCTTCAATTTCTGTCTCATTTTCAACTGCATCTGAGATCTCATGTGTGGGATCATTATCCTCCTCAATCATAACCGTTAGACTAAAATAAAGAAAATAAAAAAATTTAATATTCATTTTTCTCAATAAAATATAATACACTTTAAATACTCACAAAATATAAAAGTTAAAAAACTCAATCAATAACTATATCATTAATTTATAGATGCTGTGTTAATGTCTTTAATGAGGGTTGATTGTCACCCTTAAATCCACCATTTAAATGCTAACATTGTTTCTTTCCTTTTATATTTTTTGTACTACTTTTTATTTTCCTTTACTTACTTCTAATCCCTCACTCATTTTAGATTCAACATATTATTATTTAATTAAATAAAATCACACACGCCATTTAAAATTCATAAAACTCTAAAATGGATTAATACACAAAAATTCAAACTATGTTTGAGTCAAATTTGGCCCCATATACTACTATTACATTACAATTAAAATAGAAATATTTAAAGTGGACAAAATATTAAAACTATGTATTATAAAATAAATAAACTATTCACTTTTTTTTAATGCATCTTATCTATAGATTTTCTTCCATGTGCTTAGTGAAGTTTTGATCTCACCACAAAGTTATACTACTTTGAGATTATGTTTGATTTTGTATGTTTAAAATGAAAGAAAAAATGAGGTATATTGTTAGGGAACTAATTTATATTTATAATATTAATTAACTATTGAGGCATAGACAATAACTTGCTTAGTTTTTTTGCTATTTGGTAGCTAATGTGGATACTTTTTTATGTTGCTATTATCATTAAGAAATTTTACATATTGAAACGATATCCACTTGTTTTTCATTTTTTTTCTCTTATACTCACCATCTCTTTCACAAACTAACATAAATTTGTCACAAACTCATTTAAATGCATCATCAATTTCATCATCAACAACTACTCTAATATTTACACGTATTAGAAACAAAAATAAAAATGCTGATAATAGATTTCATATAATATTTTAAAAGTTACTCATAAAAAATGAGTTACTTAGTACATAATAAAACTATTTTATTTCAATTTAAAAAAACTCTAAAAACAACTTCTAGTAGCTATGTAGAGACATTAGATGCACTGGTTCGAACCAGTGATAAATCCTTAACATCCCACTTATTCAATTTTAAAAGGTAAAACTCCAACACTAGCCACTAAACTCCTTTGACCAAAAAAAAAAAACACAGTACTAGTACTAACTAAGTAATTGATCTATGGTTATTAAAAACTAAACTTCTTACATGTATAGTAAGATTATGTAAATTCCACCATTGTCTTGTCTTCACCATGCTAATTCACTAAGTAGTTCCAAAATAAAACTCTATAATGTATCGAAAGAAACTTGTTCTTTGTCTTTGTCTTCCACTGTTCTAAACTCTATACTTCTCCTCTTCTGTGTTTTTGAAACGGAATCACTTTTAATTATTATTTTCAATCGGAAACTCGTCCGGGAAATGGGGTACTTTCGGGGGATGGGGCACGTGTACTTCGTTGCTTCCTTCAGAGGAATCGGTTTCTGCAACCTTGGATACGTCATTCAAGGTATAGTTCAGAACTTCTGAAGGCTGGAAATTGAATCGATCTGCGTGAAAAACAATTTCAGTTAGTAAGATAATAATAAGAAGGATGCTTAAACATAATGCGAAATTGAAATTCATATCGGACCATCTGGAACTCTAAACCCGTCCGCAGAAAAACCTGAAACGGGCAAAACTCTTTGAGAAAGCTGCAGCTGCTCAAGACTTCTCTTGTGATGTTCAAAAGCTTGCGCCTCTTCCATACGCTGCCTCCTCATCATCGACCTATGTTTTCCGAGTTCTCTTGGACCGAGTTCTCTTTGAACTACATAAATTGTGCAATAGATTAACTAAGCTATAACTTGTTCTAAGTTATTAACCAAAAAAAAGTTAGGTTATAAACTAGATTATATCATACTCAAGTCAAATTCAGAATCCATATTTGTATAGTAACGTGGACAACAAGGAAAGTGCTCCACTCTATCTTGATATCTTCTGCACCAAATACACACAAGTTATTAATACCCCTGTAGCACCGACACCTCTGAAAAAAGGTGTATCTGTGAGAGTATCGGTGTTGGAAACTAACACCGACATTTATGATTACATAGTCAGTTGGTTTGTGTTTCCCGCGTCTGTGCTTCATAGATTAATACTCAAGTCAAATTTCATTTTGCAACAAGAACAAATTATTCTCACCTTGTGTTCTCTCTGTAAGGTTTCACAAGCACCCGAGAGCCGCGAACAAAATGGGGATTTCCCTTTTCCAAGATGATTCTAACGGTTTCGGGATGAGCAAATGTTACAAACCCAAACATTCTTTTGTGTTGACATGGAATCCTAACATCATCAACAGGTCCAATTTCGCTGCAAAGAAAAACATGTAAAAACTTGGAGTTGAGCGTGATATGAGTGTCAGACCATCACGCAGAAAGAGGAAAAGAAAATGTAACAATTTACTTGAAATAGCTCGCGACATCATCTTCGGAGAAAGTGCTGTCAGCTGGAAAAGTCATATATATTTGTCGAGAAGCACTGATATTTTGAACTAAATCTCTGGTTTGAATGTATTTCGGGGCATCTTCCGCCAAAATAACCGCATGCTGTCCATGAGGCCTGAAAAAACATACAAAAAAAGTTCAAATTAGAGTAAGTTACATTCAAGTACATATAAATTAGAATGCAAAAGCATAAAATTTATAAAAAGAAATTACCTGTCGATTAGCCGAATACCATTCAGCCGCGCAAGAAGCCTTGTCAAACTATAACCAGACTTACCATGTCGCTGACTCTCAGTTAAATAGCCCTGAGCTTGCAATGCCTTTTTGTATCTCTCAAAGTATGCCATCGGCAGCGAAGCAATTGACATTGGATTACCTCTTTTCTGCTTAAGAAGCTCAATAATTTCAGACTCTATCTGAGCTAACGAACGCGGTGAAATCACCTGATCCTCGTTATCACCATTTCCATGCATATGTATTTGAGAAGATAAACTCTCGTGAGGAACTTGACCATGAAAATATCGACAATTACCTCCATGCCGACAGTATCCTTTACTGAAATAATGACAGATCTTGACTGGAAATTCAGACTGGTTCGAATTCGAAAACCTTTTCGCAGATCTTCCACCGAAATTGACAACAGAAGAATCAAAACCATTGTTGTAATCATTGACGAAAACACCTCTAGGTCTGGTATTCACATGATCTAAATGATTCTCCAAGCTCAACATCTGTGCTTGTTTCTGAAGCTCCGTGACCGAATCCAGATAACTCACTCCCATAAATTCTTGATTTTCATTGCTAGCCGAAGACTGTAGATCCCAATAGGTAGACGGACCCTGAAAGTTCCGTGGTGTTGGTGGTGGTGGTGGTGAAGATGGAGAGAAACCTGGAAAATAGGCTAAACCTCGGGGAGGAGCTACATTCGGTGACGGCGAAGTCATGGCTGAAGTTACAGCCAACATTTGAATTTTGGCGTTAAGTACAACTTCGGCCATAATCTGGTCCGGGCAAGATACCAATCTAGCCATTTCTGGTTCACTGAGATTTTGCATAAGGAGATAACCCACTACCTTTCGAGCATTCTCGGGATCAAATTTCAGAACTCTGTCTAATATAATTCTTGCGCAATCTAAAATATCCATAGCTCTTATCTTATCACACTGAAAAATGTCAACAAAACAAAAGTTAGAATGTTGATAAAGCATTTAACATAAAAGAACTTGAAATTGAAAAATTAAAGTCTAATGATGAATAAAAAATTGTAGACCTACTATACCATAACATTTGACTAAACAAAAAACCAAAAACATAGATTCTCATGAAGAAATCCAACAAAAACAACCTATGAGGCAGGGACACGGACATCACATCGTCACACCGATAATGATTCAGACAGTGACACTCCATTTTCCCAAAGGTGTTGGTGTTCAACACTAACTCAGACATTGACATGGACACTCCATTTTATGGAGGTGTCGAGAAAACAATTTAAATTAACATAGATGTTTTTTTTCCAGAGGTGTGAGAAAACCACTTTAATTAGCATAGATGTTTTTCTACGAAACAAGACAGCCTATAAACCCGAATCATTATAAATAACCTAGGGAGGAAGAAACACAGATAAAAACTACTCAATTTTGCAATAGATTTTCCTCAATTCTCTCTGTCATTACTCAAAATGGAAATAGCAGAAAATCACATGCATTCTCTCTTAAGCAAAATCACACACAACAACAACAAATCCTAAACAACAATAAAAATCCTTTAAAGAAAACACACAAAACAAAAAGGAACCAACACAATCATCACTATCCTAGTAACATTTCAAGATTAGAACTCAAAGGTACAATTTTTTTACAACACAAATAAAATTTGTTGAATTCCACAACAACCCATTTTCATAATCAACAAATCAAACGAAAAAAACACAACATACCTATAAAAAAAACTCAGAACAATGCTTCAAAAACCAACCCTTTTTTTTTTGTCTCTCTCACTCACAAATCCCTACTCACTACTTGACTGATAAGTCTGTATGGACTATGAAGTGATAAGTTTATTTTCGGTTTCGTTTATAAAGACTCAATTTTTCGAAAAAATATAGCGAAAGTGTCAAACAGTTAGAGAATGAAGCCAAAATTTTTTGCTAAAATCTCTCCAAAATTATATAACTGCTTGGAACTGCTCAGACACTGAAAAAAAAAAAAAACCTCTTCGGCTGACACATTATTCTCGGAAGTTTTTTACGTGTGCTTATCCTGTTTTTTAAGGAATGTTTCCTAGGTTTATTTTGACCAAAAATATTTTTATGTTAAATTTTAGTGTTTTTTTAATTGTATAATTAATATATGACCAGAAAATATGTCAAAGTTTAGTATTTCATTTATATAAGGTAAAGTTTATTATTTTTTTACTCCATTCAAAATTTTGACAAAATTTTTACTAAAATCTAGTGTTTTCTTGAAAAAAAATGTGAGAAAACAAAATTTGTTAAAATAAGTTGAATTAAAATTATTTAAAAAATATTAATCAAATTAAAAATAAATACAAAAATAAACATTAATATCAAAACGATTATTATTATGTTAACGTTTAGTATTTCATTTATATATTAGGTAAAGTTTATTATTTGTTTACTCCCTTAAAAATTTTGACTAATATATTTTTTTAGAAATTTTTATTATAGTCTAGTGTTTTTTAAAGCAATGTGAGAAAATAAAATTATTTAAAATAAATTGACTTAAAAATTTTAAATAAAATATTAGTCAAATTAAAATAGATACAAAATCATATATTATATTAATATCAAAATGATTATTATTATTATTTATTTTAGAAAAATAATATATATATTAATATTAAATGAAAATGGTCATTTAAGGGAAAGAAATTTATAAAAAGAGAAAAATAAAGAGATGGGGCCTTAAAGAATGTGGATATGAATGTTGTGAGAAAAATTCAAATGTTTAGGAGTGGGGACCAATGGAAGGGAGGGAAAATATAGAGCTTGAAAAGAGGCTAAGGATTTGGTGCGTTGGAACGTTTCAATTTGTTTAAGAGGGAACATATAACACATAAAACATAAACAAGAACTATAGAATAGGACAATTCTAAACATATTTGAAAATTTATTTATTGAACAATGTTGTGTTTCTGTAGGTCCCACAATATTCAAAGTGTAAGGTTTAATTTTTTTGGTTTTTTATTTTTATTTTAAATAAATAAATAAAGATTTGGTTCCAGTTTCGCCATAATGTCACCTGGACATGGCCGTCGGTAATAGTCACCGGCGACACTTCTCCCTAAAATAAAAAATCAAGAATAGTATTGTGATCCCCTGTCTCTCTGAGATCGTCTCTTAACCCTACTCTCTATCCACTTAAATCTTAAGGAGGCAAAAAGATAAATTAAATGGTGCACATCCATGGAATTCGAAAAAGAGATTAGGGCTTTTGTTCAACGGTAATAAGAGAATAGGAAAAAGATGAAGAATTAAAGGGGCACTCGAAGCTTACCAACGAGATAACGGTTTGTCTCGAATGTTGTTGAGAATGCTTGAATACGAAGAACAAGAACCCTAAAGATACTCTTCTTAATTCAATGCATCATCTTCTTCTTATTCCCGATTCTCCTTTCTTGATTTTTTTTCTTGATGAATCTTTGTTAGAGTGGCTTAAGAATGACTCAGATTTGAGCTTTGAAAAGTTAGTTAAGAGTGGGGGACTTTGAGTTTTTAAGAGAAAATGGGATTCAAGGGTATTTTGGTAATTGACTTGTGGGAGTTAGTTATCCCCTTGAACAACTGGCATTTGACAGTTAGTAGTTTGTCTCACAGTTTGTTAGATGTTTGTTATGGGGTTTAGAAACAATTTGAAATTAAAAGGTATTGCGGTCATTTTGGGTGTGCCACGTGGCAAACAATTGGAAAAAACCCGAACATTATTCCTCTTCTTTTTTCTATTTAATGGCTCTTTCACTCTTTGTAATAGCACAACAAAAAGCAACAGCAAACCGTAATATCTCTTCCTCTCAATTCAATTCCCTCCGCCTCTGTTCCCAGCCAATCACCTTTCAATTTCCGCTCACGCTTTCACCCGTATCTCCCTCTATTTCTTCCGTCAAACAGCACCAACAACTTCCGCGATTTCCAGCCGCTCATCTCCCAACAGCATCATCAATTGTCGCAGCTCCTGCTATGCGAGACTACAACCATCTGCTTCCGACTTCGACAAGTTTCGGTAAATCTCGATATCACTTCTCTTTTGTTGTTTGTGAAATTGCCATGCTGCTTGAATCTAAATTGTAGTTTGGATATTAGTTTCGTTTCATTTGTGTTAGCTCTAATGAATAAAGTTGCGACGAATTACCGCATTTGTTTGTTTATACTGAATTGTATCAAGTTTTTTATTGTGTTTTTGATTTGTGCTGAAATTATCATGTTGTGATACCTTGTGATTCAATCCTGCAAAAAAGAACTTTGATAACGTGTCAAATCTGGTTGAGTTTTGAATTGGTGTTTAGGTTGAATGTACGAAAAAACTGGAGAGTGTTTTGATATTGTGATGTTCTGTTTGTAGTATGCAAAGGTTTAATGGTAGATATGAGTGAAGTTCTTGATGCTAATGTTTGTGTCAAGCTTGTATGAAAATTCTAGTTTGTTCTTGTTAAATCATGATGAAGAATTTGTTACTGTTATGCTGTCTAGATTTATATCTTGCTGAGACTTTGATTAAAAACTCATTTTTAATCACTTTTGAGCTTAATGTGAATATGACATGAGTTGATTAATATTGAATTGACGATGTTGATGTTGTCTTGTTGTTTGAGTCATTTTAAAAGTGGTTTTGATGATGTTTCAATTGAATTCAATGCACAATGTCTGTTGGTTAATATTGGTGTTTGTATACAAGGTTGGAATCACTTGGAAATTGATTTTCATGGGCTTTTTATGCATAATTTGTTTTTGTCCAATTTTTGATTTGTATGAATAATGCTTGATTTAAGTTTGACTTTTCATGGATTGAATTGAATTATAGATTGAATTATTGAATTTTATTTGTGTAAATATTCATTTGTCATTGTGCATTCATGCAATTTCATTTCAATTTTTATACTTTATGATTACTAACATAGATTCCCATTGTTGTAATTTCATTCATTTTGATTTTTATACCGCTTATGCTACTAACGCGTTTGTTACCGTGAAGGTTTCCGAAAATCGTTTCAAGTATCCATTCTCACATAGCGCATCCATAATTCCTACACTTTCTCCTTTAACTCTTTATTGTATTTCACTATTTTGGTTTAACATTTGGTACTGTAAATATATACTTGTACATAATATTTTTACTGTATATTTTATTCACTTCATTTGTAAATAAATTCAGGTTATGTAAATATTATTTTCATCGCGTTGCAATTTTAAATTTAATTCAAATTAACTTCTGAAAAATCACACATACGCATATAATTTTTCCCATGTTGTTAGTTTTGTCTGTATATTTCATGTGATGCATGGAATCTTATACCGTGAGCTTTATTCGATATCTTGAGCCTTATTCGGTACCGTGAGCTTTATCCACGCTTTCTTCATCTGTGATTTATTTTCATGCGTTGTGATACATTGCGTTTTATTTGCTGCTTGAAGTATTATCTTACATTTGGTTTTTTGATGTTGTCGACTTGTGATTTATTTTCACCTGAGGTTTGGTATACTCTTAGCTTATTTTTACCTGTCTGTGGCTTTAAACCCAAAGGGATGGGAACACGATATTGAGTTTATCATGTCAAGTACTGGTTTCTTATTCGGTCAGATTCCTTTACCTTATCTCTTACCCTCATGTACATAAGACACTGTTTTCATTTTCTCTTTCTTTAATTTTCAAAACCTTCTCATCTTTTTCAAAATCTTATTTGTTTATAAACTCGAACCGCTTTCATAATAAACCTCGACTTTTGTCGAGTGCCTTTTCTTTTAAAACTTTTTCTTTAAACAAACCTTAATTCACTTAATCATACTTCGACATCTTTCAAAATTAACAAAAACAATTCAACTCATTCAAACTCTTTTGTATGCTAGAGCACCTTTTACCCTTCAAAACTTTTTCTAAGATGAGACATGATTCATTGATAGTCGAGCAATATTCTCTTATCCCCATGGTTATAAAGGTATCGACTTTTCCACTTGAGTGCTAGAGGCGTTCTCAAACCCTAACTCTTGCTGACGCAGGGTCCATCTTTCCCACACCTTGTGGGCGTTAGTCGAGATTTCTCTCCTAACAACGATGACTTGTCTCTTCGTTTAAAATTAACCAACAGACAAGTCTTTTCTAGCCGAACTATGGTGCTATGACTTTCCCATTGCACGAGGGAGTACATAGACACTAAGTCTTACGACCCAAGGCGAGCAAAAATAATAAAAGAACATTTTCTTTTTTTTACAAATACTCATTCATTATTTTCCTTTAGCAAGTAAACCTTTACATAACACTCCTTTTAAAAGAAACCAAACAAAGTGGATCTTGCGGAGTACCGTAAATGTTTAGGATGCTAACACCTTCCCTTTGAATAACTGACCCCCGTACCTCGATCTCTAATCGTTTATTTCATTGTGGGTTTTGTTCGTTTTTTCCCATTTCCCTTTGGAAACAATAAAGTGCAGTGTGTGAGATAAGTCAATTGATGGCTTAATCTTAAATCTTTACTGCTACATCTCTTTTCCTATCATTACTGTCGCAATCTCATTCATCTTCTCGTCTTTGCCGATGCGTGCAACAGAAAGTGGCGACTTCACTGGGGACAGATTGACCTATTACTGGTCCATTCCTAAGTGGGTCAATGCTAGCTTTGTTTGTTTCTTTTCTATGAGTGTTTATATATTGTTTTACTTGTTGTTTATTACTTCCCATTATGATGTATATATGTTTGTCTGGATTTTCCTGGTTTTCAGGGGCTTGGTGATTTCTTATAAGTCTTCTACCCGGACTTTGGGAAAACTTAAGATAAGAGGGGCGATATAGTCATGTTAACTTTGAGAGAGTAATCCCAAAAAATGAGACATGAGATCCCCCACTCAGTAGAGGCCCCTTTGACTGTAGTGTCGTTTACCGGGTAATCAGGAAGACGTACTCCTTTCGACCTAGGAGCCTGCTGAAGTTGAAGACCGTGGAACCCTTAACCCATCTTGGCCTTTTAGGTGTAGTGCGGAAGCTATGACAGAGTAATCCGAAAATGGTTGTCACGCGATGCTATGCTCTGACCAGTTTTTCTTGAGAATATTACTAATTACCGAGTTAATCGAGACGTTGGTAATATCCGAAGGAAGGATGTAGACTCTGGGAACCTCTTAGAACCTTGTTCGGAAGGTGATAACCGTTAGTCCATACCTTATGGGTTGTACCTTTGACTCCAGGCTTGTGACTTTAAACCTGTGATCCTGTTTCTGTGCAGTGCATTGCATAACATTACATATCATTTACATCCTCTGCATCATTCTGCATACATCCAGCTTGTTCAGGATCTTATTCCCAATTGATTCTTTCTTCCAGTTAGTCGTCTACCGTCAAGCTGATTCCTCAACACAACTACAGGACTAGAGCTGCTGTCAGATTGAGAATGGAAAACCAAGAACAACACAACATGGAAGTCAGAATGGAAATCGACGAGTTAAAGTCAGGCATGGCCAAACTTACTGAGATGATGCAAGTCCTAATTTCCAGAGGCGAGCTACCTCAAAGGACTATGATATCTGAAATCCCAATTGTTGTTGTTGACACTCATTGTGAATTTCATCAGGGAGCTGTCGGTCATGATTTAGAAAGCTGTTATGCATTGAAAAATAGAGTGCAATAATTGGTGAAAGCAAATATTCTCACTTTCAAAGAGGCATGTCCTAATGTTATCGACAATCCTTTTCCAAAACAAAGTGGCTGAAGACTGAGTCGGGGTACCCTCAAGTCACTTCCTAAAGACAGTATTTCATACAGGACAACTCATCCTTGTTACTGATTAGTCACTAGGCCATCTTTCTTTCTGTTTGATTTTCCCTTGTTTATGTTAAAATTGTTGCTTTCAAATACTGTTTGTACTTCCATGTTAATTAAAATGAAATGAGCATTGAAATATGTTGTACCCCAAAATTTTCCCTTCCATTTTACTCAATCAATGGCAATTGAGGTCCCCAAGTTGCTCGAGGAAGTCCAAAAGTTAACCAGACAAACTCTCTCTTAAGGCAGTGTACCCCAGATTAGGGTTTCTATTTTCATCAAGATGATAGGACCACAAAGGTCTCATATGCTCTCCATGGTCTTAATATGTTCTCAAGACCCTACATGTCAAGTTTCATTCCTTGCACAAGAAGTTTGCCCAACCAACTTCCCAGATGCTTGAGAATCGACTGTACTAGGTCAAAAGTCAATTGTGGCCCACATACAGTCAAACCTCAAGATTTTTGGTCAACATCAACATTTTGAAGTTATATCCATCATTTTATCAAGGTTTGATCATGATTCCTCAAGGAATGCTCCAAATTCATCAAAACCCAAAAGTTGCTAAATTAGGGTTTCTTAGTAAAAGTCAACCTAACTTTGACCAAGCATAACTTCTTCATACTTTATTAGAAATTTTCCATCCAAAGCTCATTTTGAAGAGGATGCAATCCCCTACAATTCATCTTCATCTCACAAGTTCAAAATATTCACTCACAAAAAGATATAAATTTTGACATTATAGGTCATTTTGAAAAGTTAACAAAAACACCTTTTGGGTCAAAGCTTCATACATGAACATGGAAGACTCAATTGAGATGGACATCCTAAGCTTTCTAAAAAGTCCAAGAACACCCTCCTAGGGTCAAAATTGAGAGAGTTGTGCATTGTTAAAGTTGGTAATTTTTGGAAAATTGTCAAAAGTCAACATTGATCAAATTTGCATTTTTTTCCAAAGGGGCCCATGTTTTCTTGCTTGAAACATGTTTCTAATAGGACCCACGACCCCTGAGCTCATCCATCTCTTATTTTATTATTTTTATCATTTATTTTGATTTTTTATTCATTTAAATCAAAATAAGTCAAATTAAATGGTAAAATAATGAAAACAAATCAAATCTTGGGATTTTTGTGCACATTTTGAATTCATATATAGCTAACATGCCAGCCAATTCGTGCAAAGTGGATTTGGATTGAAAAAGATTGGATTGAAGCTTGTTTTAGAAATATATCATACATGAATCAAATCAAATCCAATTTTCATAATTCTCAAAGATATGATACACTTTTGTTGACCTAATTCAGTCTATTATAAGTGCAT